CTCTGCCTCCTTCCTGTTCATCTGCACCTCCCTGCAGCCAGTGGTCATGCCAGCTGGAGTGAAGACTGCACGGTAGAAGCGTGCTGCACACGGCCCACATCCCGTTGCTGCCTCTGGCCTCTCTGCATCCTAGGCATGGGTACCTGGTCTGATATAGGTACTGCGGTCGCTGTGTCCTTTACAACTTGATAAACCGTCTAACATAACCTCCCCCACCCCCGCCCTGGCCTGCCACACAGAGCACACGATTTGCGAATGTGTATGGAGTGCTCAGAGATGGCCATCCTGAGCAGGCATTTCTGCCCTCAGCACACAAGTTGTGCTTTCCCCAGGAACACCTGTGGGGTCTCTGGGGAGGCAGTCGTGCATAAAGTAGGGCATTCAGCCAAGGGTTCAAGTGCCAACATAGTGAGGCCAACAGGAAGTGACGGCTTCAAAATGATCTTTTTAAAAATTCTAGGATGTCTTACAGGAGTCTTAAACTTTCACCTCCTCCCCTTGTTCTGTGGCTGCCATGTGTCTGCCTTTGTTAGTAACAGTCACGCGAGAAGAACCAGTGCAGACTCAGCATCATGATGGGCTGGGACATTCCTCTTGTGTCCCTGAGCTTGTGATCCTTCTGCGGCCCTTGAGTATGACTGGGGCTCTCCACTTCATAACAAGGGCTGCACAGCTGATCGGGTTGCCCTGGGGTCCGGTCCCTGCACCACCCTGACTGCCCTGAGCAGGCTGACTGTGCCAGCAGCTCTCCATCCAGTGACAGGAAAGAGCTTCCCATCAGAAAGATGCCCACATTCCCACAGTCACTGCAGGATTTATTCACAGCGGCCAAGATGTGGAAGCAACCTATGTCCACCGGTGGAGGGGGATCATAAGGAAACTGTACACACATAGCGGAGTATCATCCAGCTGACAGTAGAAAGACGTGCTGGCAAATGCTACAACATGGTTGAACCTGAGAACAGACGTTCGACTCAGCGAAACAAGGCAGTCACAGAAGGAAAAAGGCTACATGATTCCACTTGTACAAGGAATCTGAAATAGACTCCTAGGAGCAGACTGTGGTTGGTTGAGGAGAAGAGGAGCTGTTCCAGGGACCAAGTTGCAGTTATGGAGATCAACAGGCTCCAGAGCTCTGCTGGACAGCGTCCTGCCTATAGTTAACAATGCCATACTGTGCACTTCGTTTGTTACGAGAGCAGATCTTATGTTAAATGTTCTTACCACAATTTAAAAACAAAAAAAGTTGGCCCAGCTCTAGTGGTGCAAGTGAGAGGATGCTGTTTCCTGAAGCTGGAGCCTCACAGAAAGCCCAGCCTCAGTTCCTGGATCAATCAGAACTGGCCAGGAGTGTCAGTATGTACCAGTAATCCTGGCTAACTGGGAGGCTGGGACAGGGGGCTCATGACATGGCCAGACCCTGTTAAATATACCTGTATTCCATACACTTACCACCTTTCTCTCTCAGGGGAAAAAAGAGCATCTTACAAATTGCCTTAGAACAACAATCTAGACCAGTCTCTTATTTGAACAATTCACACATAGCAGTCTCAAGCAGACCTGCTGAAGGGCCACATCTACCAGGTAAATAGAGTTATCTGGAGAATGGAAATAGGAACAGGGCCATGCCACCAGGTTCTCCTGGGATCCATCTCAGTTGGGCCTCTCGAGAGGAGGGAGTGAGAGAGCCGGGCAGTGGGGGCCCTCTTTCAGATGGGCAAGGCATGCTTAGCCTACTATTGTCTGCTGATAGAAATACCAATACCTGAGACTGGGTGATCTATAAACAGAGGTTTATTTAGCTCTCAGTTTGGAGGCCCGAGATCCAGGGGCCACATCCAGCAAGGTTACAGCACGGCAGAGGCTGGGTCTTGAGCAGAGCAGAGTGGCTGTCCCTGTGTTTCTGCCGACTCTGGCCTCCTTTCCCATCTTCTAGAGCCACCAGAATGCAACCAAGAAGCCCTAGTCTAATGATCTCACACTTAAAGGCCCCACCCTGAGACAACACAAAGAGATTAAGTTTTCAGGGCCAGCAGATGGCGTAGTGGTTGAGGCCCTGGACTCCCACGTGGCCAACTGTAGTTTGAGTCCCAGACCTGTTACCTTGAAACTCAAACCAGGTGTATGTACATATGTGACCAAAATCCCTAGAGGAGAATGGAGGAGAAGGGATTGTGGTGTGGCCATCCCCCCTGCAGGGTGATTTCTTGCTGTCTCTGCTTCTCCAGCAAGCACATGTGCCCTATAGCAAAAATTTCTCAAGAAATAAAAAGAAAGGAGATTAAGTTTTCAATTGGTGGTTCTGCAATACAACCACGTCTCAACACATGAATCCTTGGGGAATAAATTAGTATCCCAAGTGTAGGACCTGCCTCATGATGGGCTTACATTTCTTTCTTATTTTTTTTTTTTTGAAATAGCTTTACTGTGTAGCCATCACTATCTAATTTTTACCCCAGAAAGAAACCCTATATCCATCAGCAATCACACCTCACCTCTGACCCCAGCACCTGGCAACTTCTAATCTGCTTTCTATGGATTTGCCTGTTCTGAACATTTCGTGTACATAGATTTATACAATACATGGTTTTTGTGTCTGTCTCCTGTCAGACTATCCTGTTTCCAGTGATCATCCATGTCATAGCAGGTGTCAGATCACATCCCACTCCTGGCTGGGTAATACCCTACGGTGCAGGTATGCATGCATCAGTCATGGTCATCACGGAGGGACTTGGGCTGTCCCACTTCTCGCCGTGCTGCTGTGAATTTTCATGGGCCCCTGTCTTCAGTTCTCTTGGGCACATGGCCAGGAGTGGAGTCACAGGCCATGTGGTAACTCTGTTGGACCATCCAAGTGGTTCCTAAGCAGCTGTGCCCTATCTGATTCCTGTGGGAGTGTGTGAGGGTCCTGGTCTCCCCACAGTCTCACCCACTTGTAATTGCTCATCCTGTTGATAAGCCATCCAGGTGAGGGTGAGGTGCTGCCCCACTGTGGGCTTCATTTGCTTTTCCCTGGTAATCAACGCCGTAGGCATTCTTTCATGTGCTTGTGTGCTATTTGTAGATAACCCTCAGAGAAATGTCTAGGCAGATCTCTGCCTGTTTTCTAGTTGCATCATTTGTATTTCTACTACTGTGTCTTCTGTTAATAGAAGTCAGTGAGTTTGAGTGCTGCAGAAATGACCAGGGCCGACAGAGATCCATTGTAGGTGCTGAGCTTGCCCAGGAGAAATGCTCTTTCCTGAATCCCTGAATGTTCCCTCAGTCCTCTCCAGTCCCTTGGTGCTGTGGTGACCTTCCCGTTGGAGCTGCCTTCTCCTCCACTTGCCCCTCAGGTGGAAAGAACAATAGCTGGTGACTGTCTGGGTATTGTCTGTGACATGAAACCTCTGCCCAGACCCTGCCTTGAGTATAGGAAGAGCTGAGACCCAGGCTGCACAAGAGCAGCATGTTGCGGGCAGGGCTTGTGCACCCCCCTTCCTCCTGTGCCTGCAGGAGATGGCCACTGGGAAGGAGAAACCAACCATGGTCCCCCCACTTGGGTATGAGCGTCATGTGCTATGTTCTTTTTTTTTTTGGGGGGGGGGAGGTTTTTGCTATAGGGCGCGTGCGCTCGCCAGACAGAGAGACAGAAAGACAGAAAGTGAGAAATCGCCCCTCCCCCCAGGGGGTATGGCCACACCACAATCCCTTCTCCATTCTCCTCTCAGGATCTTGGGCATGCACGCACACGCACCCGGCGTGAGTTTAAGCCACTGGATCCGGGACTCGAACCACAGTTGACTACGTGGGAGTCCAGCAACATAGCCATTATGCTAACTGCTAGTCCCCATGTGCTATGTTCTTGTTCAGCCTTCCCAGCAGCTCTGAGACAAAACCACTATTACCCACCTCTCTACAAATGAGGAAACTGAGACCAGGGCCAGTGATTTGCCTGAAGCATGGCTATGTGAGCCCAGGCAGGCAGAGTTGGAGCCCGTTCATGGCGAGAGAACTTGGGAGTGGTCCCTTTGGAAAACAGGCAGGTCAGTGTCCAGTACAAGCAGCACAGGCTGCCCTTTGCCTGTCCTGAACCTGGAGACTGCATCCTGATTAAGTGAGGCCACCTTCTCAGAACAACAGGCCACAGGGTACGACTCTGGCAGGGTATGCTCACTCATCCTCCTCTCCCCTTCCCTCCCCTCCTGCCCGGCCCCACGTGGCCTTCTGAAAGGGACTCCTTCTTGCTCACTTGGGTTGTTGGACAAGGGTGTATGGAGTTCTTATTTTATTTTACCACAGAACTTTCCAGACCCAAATTTTTATGAAGGTGAACTTGTGCAGCCCTCAACCCCCAGGAGGACACAGCTTGTCCTGAGGTACCCACAGGAGCAGAGCCCTGAGCTGCGGGTGACAACCACATTCTGGGACAAGTTGAGGGCTGGGATTGGTGTCTGATGTGCTGACCAGCAGCAGGAGGTGCAAGAATGCCAGCAACCTTTCTGGAATGGCGAAGACAACTCACAGTGTGACACCGAGGAGGAGATACCACTTGTGATTCCACTCCACTATCATTGTTCTCATTTTCTTCCAACGTTTGATTCTGTGGTCACACAATGGCACATTCTGCTTCCCGACCGAGTGGTAGACGGGAGCAGTCATCCCTTGCACAATCATCCCTGTGAGTGTCAACCAGTTCCTGACACATGTGCAGTGCACGGGCACAGGGACACAATGTCATATAAGGTGGTAGTTTCCCTCCCCTTTTCTTCTGCTCCTTCCCCTTCATCTCCTCCCCGACTTTGTTAAGTCATTGTCATTTTGGAAAGCTTGGGAAATATAAGCTATCAAAACTCAATTCTAGCAGGGAACTTGTCTCTGGGTGAAAATATTGTAAATGGCCTTTGGGGAACCCCAGACCATGCTGGAAATGATGGGGACACCAGCCAGCTCACCCCATGGGGAGTGAAGATACCGTGAGGCCAGGTCCTATGTACGCCAACACTCTCCTCTGTCCGCAGAGCTGGTCATGCTTCTGGAGTGGTGGTCGGGCACGGAGTGCACCCTGTTCACCGACCAGGCCACGGTGGACCGCTTCGGGAAGGAGCACGTGGTCATCATCCTCAACCACAACTTTGAAATAGACTTCCTCTGTGGGTGGACAATGTGCGAGCGGTTTGGCGTGCTGGGGGTAAGCACCAGGGATTCTGGGCTGAGGGACTGGGAGTGAATACTGAGGATACCAGGGCAGTGTTGGGGGTGAGCACCAGGGATGCCAAGGGAAGGGCTAGGGGTAAGTGATGTGGGAGGTCACAGGGGAGGTGCTGGCGTGAGTGATGTGGGGGTCTTGGGAGCAGGCTCCCTCGGGTCTAGTTTTCTTCCTCAGAGGTTTTAACTCCTAGTTCCTTTGAGCTGAGCAATGAATGCCAGGCTGGTCTGAATGGTCTCTGTCTGCAGGGCACCCTCTGCTGTCCCCAAACTCATTCCCTTCACATTGTAAGCCTCAAGATGTGATTCCCTGTAGCATTACTCTGGTTGGTTAAGCTGCCTCATTGAAAATGTAGTCCGTACCAAGACAGGCTAAGGACCTTCACTGCAGTCAAAGCCCGTGTGGGTGCAGGAAGCCTGGTCTGAGCAGGGCACCCTGGCACACCTGCCCTACCAGGAGGACCACGCCCTTTGCTAGCCATGTCTCAGCCTGGTTTTCCTCATTCATGGACGGCACACTTATCTTGGGGGGCATGCCGATCCAAGAAATGCCACACATGGCCACTAGGGTGCAGGTTGGCAGCCAGCGCCCTGCACCCCCTGCCCTTGGTCTCTCTGCCTCCAGCATGACTGATAGCTTCCTCTTTCTCCTCCCTTCAGAGCTCCAAGGTCCTTGCTAAAAAGGAGCTGCTCTACGTGCCCCTCATTGGCTGGACATGGTACTTTCTGGAGATTGTGTTCTGCAAACGGAAATGGGAGGAAGACCGAGACACTGTCATTGAAGGGCTGAAACGCTTGTCTGACTACCCTGAGTACATGTGGGTAAGTGACCCAGCAACGCCTGTTCCGAGACAGTGGAGACAATTCCAGGCCTGGCCTCTGGCTTTGTTTCAGGTGTCATCACAGCTAGCCACACACCTGCAGCCCTATCAGTTGCCAAACCCCACAGGCCCTCCTAAGCTGGGATGCTGCCCAGCGACCCTGGTCTTGCAGACGGGGACCTTCCCTGGGATTTCCCTGCCCCCATCTTCCACAAGCCCAGCCTTGACCCCAAGCCATCCTGAGGGTGTCCTGGCAGAGGCTAGGGGGACTCCCAGCCCTGCCCAGGCTGCCTGCCCCAGCCCTGCTCAGCACCCTTCCCGTTCCTTCTCCTAATCCCTCTCCCCAGCCCATGATAATAGTTCTTGGAAAACTGGCCACTTATTCAGCATCTCCAGCTCTCACATTACAGCCAGTGGATCAGAGATTTTTCTCTCTTCCACACTCTGACTGGAGGCCACTGCACAGAGTACCCTTCCTGTTTCCCTTCTTTCTGGGAAGTTCTTTGTGTGTGAATTTGTGTGACTGGGGTGCAAGTTGCAGCCCTAAAATAAAACATTTCAGATAATGCCACACACTTGTCACTGGAGTGGTTCCGTGACTCCTGCAGATTCAGCTGTGAGCGTGTTGCTGTCTGAAAGGCCGCATGCAAGCCTAGAGTAACCCTCTGCCCTTATGTTCTGCTCCCTAGTTTCTCCTGTACTGTGAGGGGACACGCTTCACGGAAACCAAGCACCGCGTCAGCATGGAGGTGGCCGCCTCCAAGGGGCTGCCACCCCTCAAGTACCACCTGCTGCCGCGCACCAAGGGCTTCACCACTGCAGTCCAGTGCCTCCGGGGCACAGGTAGGCCTTGGCAGCTGGTGGGGTAGGGTTGCCATAGGGCTGGGGCTGAGGGTGGTGCTGCCATCTGTGCTCTGCAGGAGACAGAGGATGGGAACAGAGACTTTGTTACAAGACAGTTGAGTATGTTCTATGAGAAACATGGGTTGCCAGGCATGAAAAGGGAGAGTCATGTGGCGTTAGTATGTTCCATAGTTGCCAGAGGGTATAAGCACTCACCAGAGAATGTCAGAGAGACTGGAGGAGAAAGGGGTATGAACATGTTACAATCCTTTCTTCTTTATTTTTTCATCCTGCCAGGATTTAAGTTATGCACACACATTTCATATTTTCAAATGACCAGAACTGGGATTTGAACTGCACATTCAGCCAAGTGGGATCCAGCTCCTTTAACCTCTAGGCCATGAAATCAGCTCCATTGTCGCACAGTTTTTGCATCGTTATTTAAGGTGGTAAAATGCTAGTTAATGGGATAGCTAAAAGTATATCATGGAAAACCTTGTAAAGGGAAAAAAATCATAAATCATGTCTAGTTCAAATGGAGTCAATGTAAGAAACGGAGAAAGAAATAGAAAATAGCCAAATTGAAACACACTCATGTCAGTAAATATAGGAAACGTAAACACCCCCACGTAAAAGATGAGAATCAAGGTGGGAGAAAGGAAAACCTAGATGGTAATTTGCTGTGTGCTCTGCCCCCATCAGGTGGGGGCTGGGCCCAGGCTGTGCTCGCTGTCCCTGTGTGGTGGCTATCAGCCACCCTGTGATGCTCACTGCCCTTGTCCTTCCTCTCCACAGTCGCAGCTGTCTACGACGTGACCCTGAATTTCAGAGGAAACAAGAACCCGTCCCTGCTGGGGATCCTCTATGGGAAGAAGTATGAGGCCGACATGTGTGTGCGGTGAGTGTGGGGCTCTTCCCACCATGCTGCCTTCTGCACCTTCCTGAGCCCCATTGTTTCCCAGAAGGGCCTGTCCACAGGCCTGCTTGGTGGGCTTCATGAGAGACTTTTTAAAAATTTGCTACAGGGTGTGTGTGTGCTCACCAGGGAAAGACAGAGGAAGTGGGAGAGAGAGGGAAAGTGAGAAAGTACCCCCTGGGGAGATGGCCATGCCCTAATCCCTTCTCCTTTATTCTCCTCTTTGGATTTTGGACACACATGTGTCCAGCGTGTTTTTCAAGCCTCTGAGTTTGGGACTTGAACTGCACAGTCAGCCACGGGGGATCCATCTGCCTTAACCTGCATGGCACTGACTGGCCCAGAAGACTTCTACAGATGTATCCAGGCCTTCAGGCTGGCAGGCAGCTGAGCGATGTGTGGAGGAGGCCCTCACGTTCCAGCTGAGGGTCATCTCTGGGGAGCAGTGGGGCCAGACTTAGCACCCTGATTTCTCCTTGGCCTCCCTGAGCAGCCCAGCATTTGTTCTCCGTCCCCTTCCCTGACCTTGTCTCATATACAACAAGCTCCAGTTGGTCTTCCAAGGCCACAGTCACCAGACCTGGTGGGATTTAGGGTGCTGACTTCTTACTACAGGGTATAACACAGAGCTATTTCAGGGCAAGTTGTGTGGGGCCCCTGGGACCTCCGGCTAGAGGGGTCTTTGCTGGCCCAATGGCTTCAGCTCCAGAATGAGGGACCATGGATCTACTTGGTAGGCTAAGTGAGATATTTACCTGACAACGATAAGTAGAGTGTGTTACTTCAGCTGGTACATCAAATATGTAACTATTGGGTTGTTGGGAAAATCATGATGCATTTTTGCATAGAAAAACAGAAAAATAGATCATGACTTCCAATGACCTAATAAATCAGTGTTGAAGAAAGAAGGGCCCTGTGTGAATTGGGTCTCATATGTTAAACTGGCAGTGCCGGAACCCCCATCCCTACCCTAGAGAGATGAATAGGAGCAAGCGTCTCCGTGGACTGAGGAAAGGCCTGAGGCTTTGTTCTAAATACATCAGAGACCTCCTAGGCTTGCTTTCTTTGGATACAAGACCCAGGTTGGACTCAGTACTTCATTCCTGCTCTGTTTCTCTCTGAGTGTCTCTGGCCTGTGAGGAGAAGATGGTCCACCCCAAACTCATTAGCTTAGAACGCAGTTTGGGGTATGGCTTTGGTGCCAGCTAGGCCAGCAGGTAGGCTTTCTGCGTTTGTCTCCTGTGGGCACAGAGAGACTGTGTTGGATTATCATTTTTCTGTTTCATTCACGCGTGTGCAGAAAGGCAGGGTTTCCCTGGTGCCTGTGTAAAATCTTGTGGAGCTGTCGCTGTGTTAGTTCCCACATTTTCAGTCCCACCACCGCTGAGTCAGGTGCTTAGCCTGAGCAGTCTAACCCATGCAGGTGTGTTGTGGCCTTGAGAGCTCAAGCCTGTTCCCAGTTCTGGCCACACTAGGGGTTTCCCAGAATCATTTAATAAGTGTAATCCCATTTAACTTCTGAGGTTTATAAGGGACTGGACTAACTGGAGGTGGGGGTCTCCCATCCCGTCCTGGGATGAGTGAAGGGGTAAGCCTGGATCCTCTCCCTTATCTGTCTGAAGTCTCAGGGTAGGGGCTGACTAAGGGCTGAGGGACCTCCCTGGGGCCTAGGAAGCCCTGGTAGCCTACGTAAGACACATGATGTTGGGGGTTGGGGGACAGTAGCAAAGACCCTGTGTGGCATCCTGGCCAGAGCTGCCCCCACTCACCTCCATGACCGGAGCCCTGGAGGAGCCTTGCTCTTGTTCCTGGGAGGTCTGAGCAGCTACTGGAGGTCAGAGCTGGCCATGGCCAAGCCAGGTCAGGACCTGTTGGGCCCTGGGTGGGAGACACCTGGCTCCAGCTGGAGAGAGTCTCCTTGATCTGCCCAGCAGCCCTTGGTTGGGCTCTGTTTTGCCCGCTCATACTTCGGAAGACCTGCTCTCAGGACTTCGGAACGTGTTAGCTGTCTTGTACTACTTACTGCCTGGGTGTCTGAGTAAGAGTCACTGTCCTGTGGTCCACACACACTTACGATCCTGCACTGCCAAGGGGGCTCCATCCTCTCCTCCACACTGGTGAAGATGAGGGACATGTGGCAGGCAAGGCCAAGGACTGGTGCTCTTGTCTTCACTGCTGGCACTGGGGTGATACCCTTAAAGGAGCCTGAGTTACCACCAGGAGACAGGTGCTCAGCTCTGCAGGGTACAGAGAAAAACAGAGGTCACATTGATTTTTTTATCTTGTCCTTTAATTTTTATTTTTATAAATTTCATAATGTTTGTGACAGACAAAATAAAGCCGTAAGGGGGAAATTGTGTGTTTGTGTGTGTGTGTGTGTATGGTGTGTGTATTTAGAAGTTACATGTGTGTACACATGTCAGGTGGTCATCTGCCTTAGGGCATATGTGCTTGCTGGAAAGAAAAAGAGACAGAGACAGTGAGAGAGAAAGTGAGAAATCACCCCACAGGGGGATGGCCATGCTGCCTTCCCTCCTTTTCCATTCTCCTCTCAGGATCTTGGGTACACACACGCACCAATGTGATTTACAAGCCACTGAATCTGGGACTCAAACCGTGGATGGCCATTTGGGAGCTCAGCAACGTAATTGCTATGCCATCTGCTGGCCCCAGGTGGTCATCTTACAAGGTAGACCTCAAGATGACAAAGACACCTTTGAGCTTAGCCTCTTTCTGAAATGGTGTCTGCCACAGAGCCTTCAGACACCAGTTCTCAGAGAGTGCTCTGGGGACTCCTAGTCATAGATGTCCACCAGCTGGTCATAGAGTGGTTTCAGGATGTCATTTGCCTTCTCTACTCGTTCTCTCACAGGCATGCATGGGGCTCCACAGGGCCATGTGTGTGTGCCTGGCTGAGCCAATGCCTGCAGCAGTGTTTGTGTATGTGTGTTTTCAAAATCTCAGGTTTTGTTGCCCATGTGGTAAAGATCCAGAGACGTAATCCACAAAAACCAAAGCTCCTCATTGTCTAGCTTTTCGGCAAAAGATTTACAACATGCTTCCTTAAAGCATGGAGACTTCCTCTGCTGAGGAAGTTTCACTGGCTCTTCTCTCCGGAGGAAGCCCCACGGGCCTACCCAGCCTGCCATCATGACCAAGCTTCCTCTTGTCAGGTCGAGTTCCTCCATCATTCTTTCTCTTGTGTCCATGCTGCACCTCGTCCTGGGAGTTGGAGGTACTATAGCCCCGATGGGGAGCAGGTCCTTCCCTGCCTCACTTGCTTGTTTTTTTGTTTGTTTGTTTGTTTTGATATACTACAACACAAATATTTGTCTCCCTTTGTAAGTCCACTGTGAGCCCAGACAGCTCTCAGTGTCTGACCTGTCCTCCATGTGGTGGCTCAGCCTCATGCTTCCTTAAAAGGGAGGTCCCAGCAACCAGAGCATAGGAAAGTGGGTGCTGCATTGAGCACCAGCAGTTACGGGCTCCTTCCTGGAGGTGGTGTCTCCTGACTTCCTGGAGGCAGGGCTATCGTGTGGCCTCCAGCTCTGTGACCTGGTGAAGGGAACACCGGCAGAGATGCTCTAGGTCTGAGCTCCCTTGAGCACCCAGAGCCTGATGTCGTTAGAATCACTGTTTTAATCCTAGTGGACAAGCTTATGTTCTCATTAATTCTTACAAGTATTTAAAAGGTTTTAACACAACTTCTGGGAGTACCTTAGGCCTTCTACTTATTCAGAGTCCAACTTACTTTCAAATAGGAACCGTAGGGGCCAACAGATGGCATGGAAGTTAAAGTGTTGGATCCCACATGAACGACTGCACAGTTCGAGTCTGAGACCCAGTGACTTGAAAAACATGCTAGGCACATGCATGTGCACACTCAAAATCCTGAGAGGAAAGTGAAGGAAAGGGGACTGTGGCTTGGCTACTTCTGGAGGGGGGTGGCGAGGGAGGGTGAATTCTCACCCTCTTTCTCTATCTCTCTGGTGAGTGCACATATCCCATAGCAAAAACTGAAAATTTTTAAAAAGGAGCTGTAAAGTGTTCCTTATTTAAGATTTCCAGTCATAATTTTTTGACACTCATTGCTGTCAGATAATCACCCTACTTGTCCTACCAAATAGACACTCTAACTCTTGGGACTGTTAATCCAGGTGGTAAATGTTTGTATGTAAATAAATCACTGTCCAAACTGAAATCAAGTATTTGTTAGTCAATATTATAATTTCTAATTTTTTTGGAGAGATTTTTGCTATAGGGCGCATGCACTTGCCAGAAAGACAGAGAGAGACAGAGATAGAAAGCGAGAAATCACCCTCCAGGGGGGATGGCCACGCCACAATCCCTTCTCCTCCATTCTCCTCTCGGGATCTTGGACACGCACACACATGTACCCAGCATGAATTTAAGCCACCGGGTCCGGGACTTTAACTGCAGTCGGTTACATGGGAGTTCAGCGACATAGCCATTATGCTAACTGCTGGTCCTGATATAATTTCTAATTTTTTAATGCTTTAAATATTTGGGAATCAGCAGATGGTGTAATGGTTACGTCACTGGACTCCCACATAGTTGAGCACAGTTCGAGTTCCAGACCCAGTGGCTTCAAACATTCTAAGTGTGTTTATGTGCATACCCAAAATCCTGACAGATTTGAGGAGCAGGGATTGTGGCATGGCCATTCCCTCTGGGGGATGATTTCTCAATTTCTGTCTCTCTGTCTCTTTCTATCTCTCTGGTGAACACATGTGCCCTATAGCAAAAATCTCTCTTAAAAAATAATACTATGCATATTTGAAGTAAGTATATCATTTGGGAAAGACATAGTCTTTGCCTAATGAAGGACATTCAGTCTTGATTATTGCTGAAAGAATGAATTACAACATAAATTCTTGGGGAAGCCAATAAGTGGTTGCCCATCCAGCAGACCTGGAGGCATGATCTACTTGGCTAAATTGCTCAGCACCCCTTGTTGTCTGATACCCTCTTTACCCTAAATGTAAACTCATCTCTTGACCCTTCCCCTGGGCTCTTGGCAGTGCCTGGCAGAGTTCCAGGCTGTCTGTAGTGTGCTCAGGATGAATGCCTAGAGAGAAGTTGCTCTGATGTTTGTTTTCAGAAACTGAGAGTGAGACTTAAATTGAAAAAGCAGGACCAACAAATGACCCTGGTGCGTAGTGATTTATATTTCCCTTTCCCCTTGTTTGTTTGATGTGGTCTAGTAATTCACTTTGCTTTTCATCTTCTTAATAAAACAGGAGGTTTCCTCTGGAAGAGATCCCACTGGATGAAAAGGAAGCAGCTCAGTGGCTTCATAAACTGTACCAGGAGAAGGTAAAGACACTCAGCTTTCCCCCTAGGGACTGGCCCCCTGCAGAGGTTTTTGAAAGGGCAGCCTCCAGGGGCAGGCAGGTAATACAGGGACTTTCTTCTGGAGATGGGAGCACCATGCAGTTTCAGATACTTCTGATCCTTCTTTACTCTTCCCTTTTTCTTAATTTTTGAGAGATTAACAAACTAGAAAAAAGTATGAAGGATATGATACTTATACAACCATAGGGCTGATAACATCTTTTCATATTTTTTGTTTGTTTGTTTGTTTGCTTTTTAGGTAAAGCAAGTAATAGGTATGTGAAAGATATACAATAGGCAATATAATGGACACAATGTAATGTTAGGGGATTCTTTGCAAACCACATTTGCCCTATTCCCATTCCCCTATAGCATGCCTCACCCCAGTACCTACTTTCAGTTTATTTTATGCACACAAATACTAAGAGATTAGTTTTTTATTTTCAGCATGATAGGAGGCTAGATAGCCAGAAAATTCTCCCAATATATGACAAATGCCCTTTCTAATGCATTGATGAGCTCACAAGAAAATAAGGGAAACCTCCAGGGACCAACGAGGGAAGCAGAACAGAAAATGGGGTGGTGAGGCCATCCGCCACACTTGAACCATGGAGTTTGCTGTTCCTTGTAATCAACTGGGTTATCAGAAAACTCATAACACATTTTTTGCATAGAAAAATAATGTCATGACTTTTCCAACAATCCAATAAAGTCTTGAGTTCTAATGCTTAATGAAGTTTGACCTTATTCAAGGCAGGAATTAAACCTGAAAACCCCACATGAAACTGGAACCCTATACAAGTTTATGCCTCAGAGAGGTTAAACCGAAGCAGAAAATTATTGACCAAGGCAGAACAATGACCTTGAAGCTGGCATTTCTCCTCTTAGGCTCAAAAAAGGCTGTCCTGGTCATTCATCTTTATAGACCTGCTCTCAAACACGTTGGAGATTTGAATTTATACTAACACCTTAATGCTGAAACATAGAACCAAAATATCACCCCAAAAAGTGGTTCCAAGGGAATCATTCTTGAGTTTCTGAGAGAGGCAGATGGAGTCAGTAATTGACTCCAGAGCTGACTGCCCGTCTTGGGCAGATAGAAGTTGGTGACAGGTACACTTGAGACCAAGATATAAGGCACACGGGGGATAAAAAACAAACCCTGTCTACTATAGGTAAGGGAAAACAGATACCACAAAGAGAAAAATTAAATCTTTAAAATTAGTATGTTTAAAAATATTTAACACATGGATCAGGAGGTGGCATGGAGATTTTAAGGAACTGGATTCCACATGGCCAACAGTGTGGTTCAAGTCTCAGACCTGGCAACTTAAATATGCATGTGTGCCCAAAATCTAAGGGGACTGGAAGAGGAGTGACTGGGGCATGGCGATTCCCCTGGGGGGTGGTTTCTCATTTCCCCTCTCTGTCTCTCTGTACATGCCCAGTAGCAAAACTAAAAAAAAAAAAAAAAAAAAAATTATATAAAGCACAAAAGAATTGAAAACAAGACCTATGAAAAGATGAGAAAAACTTCAGAAAAGCCCAGTAGAACTTAGTACTCATGAGAAATCTAGTTATTGATGGTAACTTAAGAGACTAAATGGAAGATTAGATACCGTTGAAGAGAAAATTAGTCAACTGAAGGGTTTCAAGAAAATCATTCAGAATGCAGCACAGCAAAAGGGAAAAGGATGAAGATCAATTGTCAGAGATAATAGTCACAAAATGTCTAGTTTTCAATTAGCAATAATCGCACCTCAGATAAAACTCATTGGCTACAATCCTGCCACTGCGCAAAGCTGACAAAATGTCTAGTTTTGATGAAACAGAGTTTTCACTAGATTCAAGGTGTACTGCATAAGCCCTAAATAGGATAAATAAAAAGAAATCTACCCTTTCACAGAATGAGACTGCAACATGCTAAAGACAGTAGGAAGATCTTAGAATAAGAATAACCAGGGAGATGGTTAAGGCACTGGCCTCCCACATGGCCAACCACAGTTTGCATTCCAGACTTGGCAACTTGAAACTTAGATGAGGTGCACATGCGTGCATGCCCAAAATCACAGGAGGAGAATGGAGAAGGGATTTGGCTTGGCCATCATCCCCTCAGGTGTGATTTCCCACTTTCTGTTTCACTGTCTCTGTCTCTTTCTGGTGAGTACACATGCTTTGTGGCAAGAACCTTAAAACATAAAATACTAATAATAATAACAATAATAATGTGAGAGAAAAGGCATACTGTCTACAAAGGAATGATCAAGAGATTGGCATTAAACATAAATAGTGTATCAAAATCTCTTCCAATGTCTTACATATTTTTATCCTCTTAATTATCATACACATGTATACACACATATGCATTTGTTATGCACATACCATAGAGTAAATGCAGAGAAAATTGAACAAAGGAAATAATGAAAACAATAGAAAGGAAACAGACATCATAGGTACAGAAAAGCAAACCAGCTGCACCAGAAGATTTTTCTTTAAAAATATTCATAAAATGGGGACCAGCAGATGGCGTAATGGTTATGTTGCTGGATTCCCACATGGCCAGCCGCAGTCTAAATCCTGGACTTGGTGATTTGAAACTCACACTGAGCACGTGTGCATGTGTGCCCAAGATCCCGAAAGGAGAGTGGAAGAAAAAGGCATTGTGGTGTGGCCATCTTTACTGGGGGGTAATTTCTCACTTTCTGGTAAGAGCACACACTCTATAGCAAAAATCTCTCTTAAAAAAAAAAAATCATGAAATAGACCCAGCCACTGTGGCACAGCGATAATACATTACCCTGCAAGGCTGGACACAACGTGCCCAACTGTGGGTTCATATCCCTGTGTCAGTCAGCCTGAAAACATACCAGCACTTGATATCCTGAGGATCTGAAAGGTTGGGGCAGGAGATCATGATGTGGTGAGGCCCTGTTAGGGTGCTTCTCTCATATAAGTACATGTACACATTTTTTATCACTAAAAACAGTTAAGGAGCCAGCAGATGGTATAATGGTTGTGTTGCTGGACTCCCACATGGCTGTCCACAGTTTGAGCTCCAGACCTGAAGGCTTGAAACTCATTCCAGATGTATGTGCATGTGTTTCCAAGATCCCAAGAAGAGAATGGAGGAGAAGGGATTACAGTGTGGCCATCCTCCTCCTCAGGGGGCGCATTTCTTGCTTTCTCTGTCTCTCTGGTGAGCATACATGCCCCATAGCAGAAATCTCTCTTAAAAAAAAAAAAAGTTAAGAAGGAAGAAAACTTAAAGCAAGATTGGCTGACTGAAAAGAGTAAGGAATAAAAAATGGAATACACCAAAGAGCAGAGGCTATGATTGACTTTATGCCTGGTATTTAAAAACCTGGATAATATATATTTTGGGACAACTTTACCCTCTCAAAAAGGAAAAACCCAGACACAGTAGAAACATGGTGTGTGTACACCATGTTGGTACCTGGGTAGGTAGATCTCATATGTACTCAACTGCATAGCGATATACATCTTTGCATCTGAGTCAGAGAGTTTGTGGGTTTTCCAAGTTGACAAAGATTCTCCAGAAAGATAATGCCACGTCAACTCCCACCTGTCGCGATGGGGTTTGTCCACTTTAAGGTGTGACACTTTGTTAGATTGAGTCATTTTTCATTGTCAACAGTTTTTTCCTCCATCAAAAGAATAGCATCAGGGCCAACAGGTGGCATTGCGATTAAGGCGCTGGATTCCCACATGACCAGCTGTGGTTCTGTGGTTCAAGTCCTGGACTTGGTGGTTTGCTCTCTCTCT